CCCCCCCCCACTCTCTGAAAAGCAATGGAAAAAATATCTTCAGGTAATGATTAAAAACAATAATAATAAATGCACAATCTTTGCACCAGAACTATGCTGAAGCTGGATCTCAGATGATGACACTGAAGGATACGACAGGCAAAGGCCTCCATTTAGGGTCCCACACCAGGGACTGGTAACTGGCCAGTAGACCCATGTCCTGTCACTGAGTTGGAGCCCAGTGTGGCCCAGCCAGCACCGCGGAGCACAGAATGCCTGGCCCTCAGGACTGTGCAGCAAACAGAACAAGCACAGATTGGTGGCATTGCGGACATGGCCGAGAGGAGGCAATCCCGGAGCACACAGTTCCCAGCTGTGTGCTTCCATTTTGTCATCTGTAAAGTGGGGACACCTAACCTGCAAGGCTGAGGCATTTAAAGGGATTTGCATGTGAAGTAAATGGAACAGCCTGGGCCAGAGTGGGCAATGAGAGGATTTGGGTTCAGAGTTGTAAGTAAAGGTCAGCACAGCAGTGGGAACACAGCCAGTGACACAAGTGGACAAGCTGAGTTCTGTTCAGTGGCAATTTGAATTCCTTGCACCCGGTGTGAGTTCCCTGCAGCTGCTGTAGCCAATGAACCACAAACTTAGAGGCTGAAAAAAAAAAAATGCTTCATCTCATAGTTCTGGAGTTCGAAAGTCTGAAATGAGTCTTATGGGGCGAAAATTAAGGCGTTGGCGGGCTGATTCCTTCTGGAACCTTCAGGGAAGAATTGGTTTACTGCCTTTTCCAGCTTCTAAAGGCGCCTGCATCCTTGGCTCATAGCCTTGTCCATCTTCAAGGGGAACAGCAGAGCATCTTCGCACCTCCGCTTCTGTCCTCACACCTCCTCCAGCTCTGACCGTCTAGCCTCCCTCTTACATAAGGACCCTTGTGATGATGTTTAAGGCCCACCTGGATAATCCAGGATCATCTCTTATCTCCAGATCCTTAACTGAATCCCATCTGCAAAGTCCTTTTGCCATGGAAGGTCCTGGGGACTAGGAAGTGGGCATTTTGGGGGGTCACCCTGCCACAGTGTTTCCCCACACACCTAGAAAGTTCCACTAGAAGAAAAGCAGAAGGCTTCTCGTTTCTGCCACGGACCTATGACATGGCATGACATGGGTCAACGTTCCGGCATGCCAGGATGGGGCTGAAAGGCCCAGCACCCAGCTCTTCTCGGCAACGTCCAGGACCAAATTTGAAGACTCAAGGCTAAGCAAGAATGGAGAGCACATCGCTGACAACCAACATGGGCCCTGCCTGAGGCACTGAGTGCCAAATTTCAAGTTCAGTAGGAGGTCCATCCCTGTCCCACCTTTGTGAGCAAAGCAAAAATGGGGCCAAGGTGGCCACACAGAGACACCAGAACTGCTCAGCTGCTGGTAAAACACACACACACACACACACACACACACAGACACACAGACACACACACACACACACACAGACACACACACACACACACTGTACTTAGCTGCAGATAAAATTTATTAAGGCAACACTGAAGCTCCAGGCACCTACGGCTTGCCAGGCAGACCTCAGCCCCCTTCTGCTCTAGAATGCACCTAGGTAGCTCCACCTCCAACCTGCTGCAGGAGGCCCACTTCACAGACCAGAAGTCCAAGTCTGGTACCTAAACACTGATGTTTGTGGCCCTTGATGTAGTTTTTAAGAAAGAAAATAAGTTTTTGGAAACTTCTTTAAAACAATTTTTTTAAAACCTTCTAGAAAAAAAATTTCCACAAACCTCACATTAATAACTGATGAAGTAAGGTTCAGAACATGCTTCCTCCAGGCTCAGAGAGGAGGAGGGACTGGTCTGTTTGGAGGACCCCAGTTTCCCAAGGCAGTAGCTAAGATGAGCTGGGGTGCAAGGGGTCCAGGGCTCCTTTCTGGCCCCTCAGGGAGGGACTGAGACCCCAAGCCTCTTTCTGTCTATCCTACTTCTTCTCTTCTGGGGCTTTCTCAGTAACTCCGGGGGCGAAGGGTCCCACCACCCAAGTGATTGGTGTGTTCTGGGCCACATACTCGACAATGTGGTCAAGGGCCTCCCGGGCCTTGGCAACTCGCTCGCGGCTCTGCGTCAGGATGCTGCTGGACAGGTCCTGGAAGGAATGAATGCCAGAAAAGGTGGCTTGAAGGTCTTCCACCTGGCGGCGAGCCTGCTGCACCTGGTCCTTCACATGGGTGGGCAGCCCCTGGATGCTGGACCCCAACGAAGTACAGGTGGCCTGCAGCTGCTGGGCAATGTCACGGAACATGGTGAGCGTCTGGGACTCAACCTGCTGAGAAGGAAGAGGGGCGGGGGGCGATTAGGGCCACTGCTTTGGGGAAAACTGGTTCTAAAGCCAGGGAAAAAGAAAACGGGGGCTCTACCGCTCACTTTCAGGAAAACCCTTCCATAGGGAGGCCGCTCAGCACTGTTATTTGGGATACCCCAGCTCTTAGAGTTTTTGTTTGTTTTTTAAATAAATTTTACTGATTTTTACTGAGAGGAGGGGAGAGAGAGAGACAGAAACATCAACTGGCCCCCTTCTACACAGTCCCCAACCAGTGATCGAACCCAAAACCTGTGTATGTGCCCTGACTGGGAATCAAACGCACCACCTTTTGGTGTATGGGCCGAAGCTCCAACCAATTGAGCCACACTGGCCAGGGCTGGCTCTTAAGAGTTTTGAACCATGAGATATACACCAGTCACACTGAAAAACGGGCATAGACATTTCTCCAAAGATGACACACAGATGGCCAATAAGTACAAGATGTTCAACTTCATTAGCCATTAGAGAGATGCAGCTTAAACCACAATAAAACACCACTGCACACTCACTGGGGCTACTAGAATTACAAAGACATAGTAACAGGAGTCAGGGAGGATGGGGAGCAACTGGAGCTCTTGGACTGGCCAGTGGTGCAGTCACTGTGGAAAACAGACTGGTGGTTTCTCGAGATATTAAACTATAGCATTATAACCCAGCAGTACTCCACTGAGTATCTACTGAAGAGAAAACACATCCACACAAAAACTTACGCACCAGTGTTTTCATAGGGGCACCACTCACGACAGCCCAAAGTAGAAACAACCTACATGTCCACCAGCTGGTAAATGGATCCAACACAACAAGGTGGTCCCTCACTGGAATACTGCTCAGCTATGAAAAGGAGCGAAGCAGTGCCCTGGCTGGTGTGGCTCAGTTGGTCAGAGTGTCGTCCCGTACACCAAAAGGTGGCAGGTTCGATTCCCAGTCAGGGCACATACCCAGGTGGTTAGTTCAACCCCTGGTTGGGGCATGTGTGGGAGGCAACTGATTGTTGTTTCTCTCTCTCCTTTCCTTTAAAATCAATTTTAAAAGGGGGAGGGGAGGGAGAAAGAAGTGAAACACTGACACTTGCTACAACATGGATGAACCTTGAAACCATGATGCTCAATGAGAGCAGCCAGACACAAAAGACTACACAGTGTGTGATTCCATTTATGTGAAATGTCCAGAACAGGCACATCCACAGGGACACGAAGTGGGTTGGTGTCAGAGGCTGGGAGAGGGGGATGGGGGTGACTGCTCATGGGTACAGGGTTTCTTTTTGGGGTGATTTGAATGTTCCAAATAAATTGTGGTGACAGTTACACACCCTATGAATACAGATGGTCCCTGACTTGTGATGTTTCAACTTATGATTTTTTGACTTTATGATGGTGCAAAAGAGATAGGCATACTTTAAATTTTGAGTTTGGATCTTGCCAGGCTAGCAATATGTGGTCTGATACTGTCCCATGGTGCTAGGCAGCAGCAGCAAGAGGATTTTGCTCAACCGAAGGCTAATGTACGTGTTCTTAGCATGTTTGTGGTGGGCTGGGCTAAGCTGTCATGCTCAGTAGGTTGGAATGTATCAAATGCATTTTTGACTTATGATATTTTCAACTTAAAATGGGTTTATCAGGAAGTAACCCATTGTAAGTTGAGGAGCATCTATATACTAAAAACCACTGAATCATACACTTTAAATGGGTGAATTGTACAGTATGTGAACTATATCTCAATTATAACTTTTTAAAGGAGTACAAGACATTTTTATATCTCAAAATTGTTTTTCTTTTAAAGTTAAAAAAAAGAGGGAAGGTCTGAAAGAACTTTCTAGGCAGAAGTTGTAAGCAGTTTAGATCAGGTCCCTGAAAATTTCCCCAACCAGGAAAGAGTTCAGAGCAGACTGCCCTGAGCGCTGTCAGCTGAGCTCTGGACTTGAACCAGGAAGGGAGGTGTTGATAAGAGAGTCAAAATTTGTATCTCTGGTTGCTGCATTCAGCAGAGGGGGAAAGGAGGCAGTTTTCAGCAGTTTGGCTGAATGCTGAGCAGTTATGAATTTATAGATATTCATCATATTTTCATAAATATCACTTTTATAGCAGCATGTGCTTTACTTATGACCTCATTTAATCATATATATATGACTCACATATCAGAAAATTCATTTTAAATGTATGATTCAGTGGTTTTTAGTATATTCATGCCATTGTGTAACCATCACCTCTAATTCCAGAACATTCCATCACCTCCAAAAGGAAATCCCTCCCCTAGCCCCTGGCAACCACAAATTCACTTTTTGTCTCTGGATTTGCCTGTTCTGGACATTTCACATAAATGAAATTATACAATACGTGGTCTTTTTTGTATGGTTTCTTTGAGTGAGCATAATGTCCTCACAGTTCATTCATGTCTTAGCGTGTATTAGCGCCTCACTCCTTTTTATGTCTGAGTAATATTCCTTTGTATGGACGGGTCACATTTTGTTCATCCATCCATCAACGGACATCTGGGCTGTTTCCTCTTTTTGGCCACTGTGAATAATGCTGCTGTGAACATTCACATACAAGTTTAGCTAATTTCATCTTAACCTTACAGAAAGCCCTATATCCCATTTACAGAGAGGCTAAGCTGAGAAGCTCTAGTGTTAGTACAGACCTAAGACTGGAGGCGTATCATTCAGAATGAGGTGTGAGAATTGCGTAAGGCATTGTTGATTCAATGAAAGCTGAGATGAGTGACAGTACAGGTTGCAAAAATTAGAGCAGGGTACAGAAGGCCAATGCTTGAGAGAGATTTGAGGAACCAGAAGAAGCTAGTAGTTACTAGGGGCAAGGTAAGTAACTATGAAGGATTCGATGGGACACTGTGATGGGGGAGGGAAGGTTACAAGAGTTTCAAGACATAGCTTAGAATTTAGCAGGTTGAGACACGTCACTATCAAGTGTCCCAAGTTCAGAAGCAACACCCACACCCAAGAGTAGAAAACTAGGCAGGCTTCCCAGAGGGGGTGTTGGTGAGTCCTGAAGGCGGTTAATGGGAGGCAAGGCTAGGGGAAGCATTTCAGGCAAGTGAGTCCATCAAGCAGAGGTGTGGAGAGGGAAGTCAGGGCCCCAAGCACCCTATGCCCCTCCCCACACAGGTACCTCTGGCTTCTCTGGGTGCCCCTCCGTGCCCTGGAGCTGCTTCTGGTTCCAGTTGAGCCACATCTGGTGTAGTTTCTCCTGACCTTCCACCAACTTCTGATCAACTCCCTGCTTGACAGTTTCCATCTGGAGTGGGAGAGAGAGCAGTGAGAGAGGCTGCCTCCCCTGCTTGACCAAGGTCTGCAGAGCCCCTGCACATCCTGGGAGAGAGAGGATTCCAGAGGGAGCCTGGGGAGTCCTCCTCCTTTTATCTGAGATAAGGGGAGGAAAGGAGGGAGGGGCGCTGTTTTCACACATGGTTTCCAAAGTGGCCACAAATTTTCTGCAGCTCCACCCATTCTGTCTTGTTTCTTCCCTCCCCTTGCAACTGGGCCTGGACACCTGGCTGGCTGTGGCCAACAGAAACATGAGCAGAGGGAACAGAAGCAGAGGCTTAAACAGTGTTTGCGATAGAACATTGTTCAGCCTTAAAAAGGAAGGAAATGCTGTCCTGGCCGTTGTGGCTCAGTGGTTAGAACGTTGGCCCGCACACCAAAGGGTTGCAGGTTTGACTCCCAGACGCCGCCGTGCCATGCCCCACGCCGCGGGCGGGGCCTTACCAGGCTGAGTGCCTGCGCCAGCTGCAGCAGGGCCTCCTGGGCCCTCTGCCTGGTGTGCTGCAGTTTGCACAGTGAGTGCTTGTAGGCCTGCTGGCGCAGCCGCTCCGACAGTGAGCCCAGACGCACGAAGTAGCTCTGTTCCTGCCGCTGCTGCTGCACTGAGGCGATGTCGAAGCCTTCTACAGGTGTGGCGAGGTGGGCTGCATGGGGGAGGTGGGGGAAGCATCATGAGAGCTGGTCTGCAGACAGAGCAAGCAGCTCAGCCTTCCCTGATGCATACTACAGAGTGTGGGCTTTAGTTTCACATGGACTACCCAGGTTTATGTGGGTCTTATGCTTGCAAGCTTTGAGGCTACGGAGAGACGGGTTTCCCTGCCTTACTTTTCCCCACCTGCAAAATGGGTACAATGAGAACCAAACTTCCCAGGATTAAGAGGCCTTAGACTAGCATAAGGGTCTGCAAACTATACCCTGCAAGACACATCCAAATTGTCTGCGGTTTTGTACAACCAGTGAATACAACTATAAATGTCCATTATGTATTATCTTTGACTACTGTCAAACTACAACAGTGGAATATGTGGTCTCTTGCCCAATGGCAACTAAAATACTTATTGTCTGATCCTTCACAGAAAAAAGTCAGTTGACCTAGTATTATTGCCTGGAATATATTAATAGTGGCCAATCTTTCACAACGTTCTAGGTGCTTCCCATGACTTCTTGTCAAATCTTAACAGGCATTCTTGTCAAATCTTAACAACTCTGTGAGGAAGGCACTGTTCTCTCACTTTTACAGTTGAAAAAACTGGGGCTCAGAGAGGTTAATTGTCTTGCCCAAGGTAACACAACTTGAAAGCAGCAAATCAGGATTTGACGCCCGGCCATCTGACCCCATGTTCTCAACCATACATGATGGGAGAAGTTTGAGTCATAGGAGAACCATCTTAAACACCTTGCTGACTGGTCACGAGTATACATGTGTTCCCACGTCTGAACGTTGCTGACCTGTCATGAGATAACTTGTGTCTGTACTTACGATAACTTAAGTAATTTTAAACACCTACTGAACGGTCACGAAAGAAAAGAAGTCAGCCACATGGGTCAGTTCTGGCTCAAAATAGCCAGTCAGCAAGGTGTTTAATAAGTCAGTGCTATCTAGTCCAGAAAGTGCTTATGAGGTTACAAGACATAGCTGCCTTCAGAAGCCAAGACCCATAGCTGAGTCTTATGGAGAAACTGAACACCTACTAGAGCCAGCAGGCACTGAACTTGGGGTTCAGCAGGGAAGACATCAGCCAGATCCCATCTTTCAAGAGGTTCAGAGTTGGGTTTTGGAAACTCAAAGGACAAGTAACATGCTACACTCAAGCCACATGCTGTAGGGCTGAAGCTCGCCAGCCCTGCCTGGAACATTGAGATTTTCCATAAAGCAAGGGACTTCTCCTTTCCACTGAGGGTTCTCAGGGAGAATCATGGGACTCACAGCTAGCTTGAGGGGGGCGCCAATTGGCCGAAAATAATGGGATAAAATAAACACTTCGGATTGGAATATGCCGTGTTAATCCATGTGTTCAAACCTATAAAGTAAAAAACCAAACCACTACAGACCCATGGAGGGCACTGATGAACCAGGCCATGATGCCAAAATAAATAAGTTAGCTATTTTCCCTGCTTTTCCTCACTAAACTGTACCTCGGGGTAATCAAAATTGGAGAGAACTTTCTCCATGGAAGTGTTCCAGCTACAGAGAAAGAAGTGACACTTTTAAGAGCTACCTGTAGCAATCCCAAATGGAAAAAGAGATGGAGATAAAGATTAGCTATTCACCCATCAGGGAACCACTGGATTCCACAGACTATATATGAAGTTCTAGAGTAGGCAAAGCAGCGATTCTCATCTGGGGGCAATTCTGGTCCCCAGGGGACACTGGGCAATGTCTGGGGATATTTGTGGTTGTCACAACTGGGGGTGCTCCTGGCATTGAGTAGGTGCTGCTTAGCCCTCCCCCACCCCGCCCCAGTGCCCAGGATGGCCCCACAGAGAGTGGCCTGGCCACAATGTTAGCAAGGCCACAGTTGGGAAACCCTGATCTAGCCTGTCTTCAACTTTTTTCTGTTCTCCCAAATATTTGGCTCCTCATTCAAACAAACCAGCTCTGGCCAATGGGCCAGGGCCACACTGTCCTCTGGATGGAGCATGGTGTCTAGTTACTTGCAGCCCTCATGGGCTGTTGCTGCCACGGGCATTGGAGGCTAACACGCCAGCACACTGAAAGTCCCTGGCATGTGTACAAAGGAGGGCCCTCTTTCATATGCAGCGTCAAGACCACCGCAAGAGCCATGGGTATGAGAGGACAGGTACAGACCATGAGTAGGGCTGGCTGCTTTGTCTCCAATGGTTTCATCCCCAGTTTGTCTACTTGTCTTCATTTCTACTCTGACCTGGTTCAGGCCCCATTTTCACTGCCCTGGTCCCTCTGCTCCCACCCTTGCCTCCAGGCCTGTCCTCCCCAAAGCAGCCACCTGAGGGCGCCTGTAAGCACCTTCCTCAGGTCAGTGTCCCTCCTCTGCCTTCAATCCCTCAGGGTAAGACCCTCAGTCTTCCCCTTGGCCCATACTGCCCTGCATGACCTGCTTCTGTCCCCTCTCCCTGCCCTCACTTTCTCTCTCTCTCTTCTTCGCTCATTCTTTTCCAGCCACTGGGGCCTCCTTGCTGTTCCTCCAACACACCAGGCAAGGTCCTGCCTCAGGGCCTTTGCACGGGCTGTTTCCTCTCCCAGGACCATTCTTGACCTAGACATCTAGATGGCTCACTCCTTTCTACCTCCACCTCTGTGCTCAAATGCCACCTTCCCATGGGTCCTCTAAAAAATGCAAACTTCCTCATCCCTATTGTTCCCTGAAACCCCTTCCCACCCCCTCAGCATGCTGTTTTTTTCTCTTGAGCACTGATCATCGGTTCTGTCATCAATTCAACAAAGCAGAGGCTTCCATCTTGCTCACAGATTGTGTCCCTATGTGCTCAGCAGGTGCTTAAATCCCTGAATAAAATCACCCAGACTCTCCTCTGTTGTTCTCATGCCCCACCCATCCCAGCATTTATTTGTTCATTTAAACGTTCAATCAAGTGGACAGACTCCAGGTAGCCAAAAGGGGCCCAGGTTGGGAGGTCCAGGGAGGGGTCTCAGGCCCAAGGGCCACACTCACCCAGCTCAGAGTCTGTCATAGGCAGGTGGTTGTCCACCCATTCCTCCGACTTGCCCAATACTGTGTCCACCCCGCTCAGCACCATCTGGCCCACACGGGACCCCATGACTGAGTGGACACTGCTGGTCACCACGGACTTGGTCATGTCCATGCCGCTCTGAACAGCTCCCCGGGTCACGTCTACTGCCTCTGTCACTCGGGTGGCCACTGTGTCCTTGGCGTTGGACACCCTGTTGGATACAGCTTCTCGGGCCCCTGACACCTTGGATGACACGAGTTCCTTGGTATCCGCCAGGACCTATGAGTCAGGCCAGCATCAGCATCTCTGCATTCCCTCCATACCTGGGTAGCCCCACCCATGCACCCCAACCTCCAAGGAGCCCAAGGGGGTAGTTCTAGCTACCGGGTGATCTTAAACCCAAAGGGTCAATGTTGAATCCAGTATCGCAGTTAAGACCACTTGCTCAGAAGCCAGCCGGCCTGGTTAGAATCCCTGGCTTAATATTTCTTAGCTGTGTGGCCTGAGGAAAGTCACTTCCCTTTTCTGTGCCTCAATCCTCCCAAAGCTACACTGTCTAATAGAGTAGCCACTAGCTATAGGTGATTATTTAAATTTAAAATAATTAAAACTAAATAAAATTTTATTGAAAGCAGGGTCTGAAAGATACAGACACCAATGTTTATAGCAGCCTTGTTCACAGTTCACAACAGACAAAAGACAAAAGCAGCCCAAAGCAATCCATTGACAGACAAATGGATAAATGCAGTGTGGCCCATCCAGACAATGGAGTATTATTCAGCCTTAAAAAGGAAGCCCAGCCCAGCCACGCGTGGCTCAGCGGCTGAGCATCGACCTGTTATCCAGGAGATCGGGGCTCAATTACCGGTTTGGGTACAAGCCCGGATGATGGGCTCAATCCCCAGTAAGGGGCATGCAGGAGGCAGCCAGTCAGTGACTCCCATCTTTGATGTTTCTATCTCTCTCCCTGTCCCTTCCTCTCTCTGAAATCAATAAAGATATATTAAAAATAAAAAAAATTACTAAAAAAAAAAAAAAAGGAAGCACAGCCCTGTCCAGATAGCTCAGTTTGTTAGAGCATCATCCTGTGCACCAAAGAGTTGTGGGTTCGATCTCTGGTCAGGGTGCATGGGGGATGTGTCCAATCGGTGTTTCTCTTTCTCTCTTCCCCCCTTCCTCTCTCTGAAATCAGTGGACATATCCTCTGGTGAAGATTAAAAAAAAAAGAAAGAAAGAACATTCTGACATGCTACCACATGGATGAACTGTGAAGATATTACACCCAGTGACATAAGCCAGACACAAAAGGACAGATACTATGTGATTCCACTCAGAGGAGGTCCCTAGAGAAGTCATATTCATAGAGACAGAAAGTGGATGGTGGATGCCAGGGGGTTGGGGGAGGGGGATGGGGAGTGAGTGTTTAATGGGGACGGAGTTTCAGTTTGGGAAGCCGAAAAAGTTCTGGAGATGGATGGTGGGGATGACTGTACAACAGTGTCAACATGCTTATTGCTAGTGAGCTGTACACTTAGAAGTGGTTAAGACGGTGAACTTCATGTTGTGAAAACACTAATGTAACTTGTACACAAATGTTCATGGCAATATTATTCAGAATAGCCAAGAAGTGGAAGCAACCTAAAATGTCCATCAATGGATGAAAGAATAGACAAAACGTGGCCCATCCACACACTGGAATCTTACTCAACCATAAAGAGGAGGGAAGCTCTGACACTCACTGCAAGGTGGATGAACCTTGAAAACACAACCCTCAGTGACAGAAGCCAGACACAAAAGGCCACACAGTGTGTGATTCTATTTATGTGAAATGTCCAGACCAGGCAAATCCAGAGACAGAAAGTAAATTGGTGGTTGCCAGGGACTGGGATGTTTGATGGGAAGGAGAGTAACAACTAACGGGTGTGAAGTTTCTTTTTGGGGTGATGAAATGTTCTAAAATGGGTAGTGATGGTTACAAATTAAAAGTAGCTATTTAAATTTATAATAATTAGAATTAGTAATTGAGTTCTGCAGTCACACTAGACACATTCTAAAGATTCAATAGCCTCATATGGCTGGTGGTTTTCATATTGGACAGTGCAGAGAAAGAACATGTATCTCAGAGAAAGTTCTACTAGGCAGTGCTAAGCTAGAATCTTTAAGAGGGAAGGGAAGGCCTCTGAAGAGGTGTGATTAGAACAGAGATCTAAAAACCTGATCCACGAAGAAGAAACTGCATGTGCAAAGATCCCAGGGTAGGACTGAGCCAGGTGTGTTCATTGTCTTTGCTTCTCCCACCTCCCTAGAACGAGTTCCATGAGGGCAAGAACTGTTTCCACCACTGTGTCTGGTACATACAGTCACTGATGTTACTGAACACTGAGTATGAAGGCCAATGTGTCTATAGTGGAGTAAGAGAAGTGCATGACAAGGGCAGGGAGGCAGTGGGGCCAGATCAGGTAGGGCGATGTGGGCTGTGGGGAGGGTTTGGCTTTTTCTCTGGGCAACGTGGGAGACACTTGGGGGTTCTGAGCAGATCTGGCTGGCATTGAGGACACTTGTCCAGCTCCCCAGTGGGGAACAGGTTTGCAGTGTGGGGGACACACAGAAGAGGGGTCAGGGAGTAAGCTGTCACACTTGTCTATTCTAGTTAAGGAGCACTCAATACCCAGGTAGGTCCCTGTTCCCACGGGGCTCCTGATGGTGGAAGTCTGTTACCTTCTCCGTCTGCTGCTGTAGGATGGGCAGGTTCTCCTCCAGCTTATCCAGCCCCCTATGGGCATATCCGCTGGCTGATGTGACTATAGGTGATGGGAAAAGACAGAAAAATGATGGTTACTGCACATGAGCGTCCCTCAGGGTCCTGGGAAGGTTAGCCGCTGGTTGGATGGGGCAGACCCACCCCCCGCAAAAACAGCCAAGAAGGGAGGTCCCATGTTCTCTGGGGCTTCACTCACTCTGGGGCTCCAATTTGGATAAGATGGGCTGGGCCCCACTGACGGCAGCCGCTGTGAGGGTCTTCACACCTTTCTCTGCCACATCACAGACGGTCTTGACGTGGGGGTGGCTCTCCTTGGTGGAGGTGTAGGCTGCCGATACCATGCTGCAGGTGGAGCTGATGAGGGGCATGTTGGCCACTCGGTCCACCACGCTGGGCTACAGGGAGAAGTAGCTGAGGTGGGCAGGGCAGGGGGTGGGGAGGCTGGGCCTGAAACTCTGGTGCTGGCACTTCTGCTCTCACTCACAGCTAGGGAAACAGCTTAGTTCACCCCTGCTTTGGATCCACACAGTTGCACAAGCCAGGAACTTCAGGGTTCCACCATGTGCTTCCTTTTTCTTAGGTCTGCAGCTCATTTGTTTGTGTCTTTGACACCTACTGTGTGCCAGGTAGTGACAAGAGAAAAGAACCCTACTCTCTCTGAGCTTACGGTCTAAAGCTAGGGTCTGCAAACTATGGCCCACAGGCCAAGTCTGTCCCACCAACTGATGTTTTTACTCTTGTCTGTTTTTTTCCTAGTAGCTTTATTGAGATCAAGTTCACGTATTATAAATTTCACCAATTTTAAAGTGCATAATTCAGTGGTTTTTAGTATATTCACAAGGTTGTGCAATCATCACCACTAATTCTAGAACTTTCCCATCACCCCAAAAGAAGCCCTGTACCCATTCACAGTCACTCATTCTCCCCTCCCTCCAGCCCCCGGCAACTACTAACCTGCGCTCTGTCTCTCTGAATTTGCCTATTCTGGACATTTCATATAAATAAAATCATGTACTCTGTGGTCTTTTTCTGTCTGGCTTCTCTCACTGAATAATGTTTTCAAGATTCATCCATGTAGTAGTGGGTGAATTTTTTTAAATTGTAGTAAAATACAGGTAACAATTTACCATTTTAACCATTTTTAAGTGTATAGTTCAGTAGCATTAAGTACATTCACATTGTACAACCACCACCACCACCATCCATTTCCAGAACTTTCTCACCTTCCCAAATGGAAACTCTGCCCCTATTAAACACACACTCCCCATGCCCCTCCCCAGCCCCTGGCTCCCACCACCTACTTCCTGACTCTATGGATCTGACTCCTCTAGGGACCTCCTGTACTTGTCCTTTTGTGTCTGGCTTCTTTCACTGAGCATATCTTCAAGGTTCATCCATGTTGCAGTACGTGTCAGTATGATATTCCTATATATGGCTAAATAACATTCCATTGCTGCCTGCTTTTGTAAATAAAGTTTTATTGGCATATAGCCACACCAGAGCAGGTAAATCCACAGACAGAAAGCAGAGTAATGGTTGTCAGGGGCGGAGGGGAGAAAGAAATGGGAGTGACTATTAATGGGAACGATGAAAAAGTTCTGAAATTAGATAATGGGGATGGTTGCACATTGTAAATGTACTTAATGCCACTGCACTGTATACTCTTTAAAATGGTTAAAATAGCCCTAGCCAGTTTGGCTCAGTGGTGAGAGCATCGGCTTGCAAACTGAAGGGTCCCGAGTTCGACTCCAGCTAAGGGCCCGTACCTCAGTTGCAGGCTTGATCCCCGGGTCAGGGCGCATTCGGGAGGCAACCAACTGATGTGTCTCTCTCACATCAATGTTTCTCTGTGTGTGTGTCTCTCTCTCCACCTTCCACTCTCTCTGAAAAGCAATGGAAAAAATATCCTCAGGTGAGGATAAAAAAATAATAATAAAAAAATAAAACAAAATGGTTAAAATAGTATATTTTTTGTGAGGTGTGTTTTACCACAAGTTTTAAAAAGGAATAAAGCACTGACACACACGACATGGATGAACGTCTACAACATCACACTCGGTGAAAGAAGTCAGACAGGAAAGGGTCTCAGAGACCAAAACTAGAGTAAGGTTGCTGAGGGAAAAGGGGGGTGAGGGGGGTGACTGCTACTGGGTAGCTGGTCTCTTTTGGGGGAGATGAAAAATGTTCTAAAACTGTACGGTGGTGACGGCTGCATAACTTGATAGCTCACTAAAGATCACTGAATAGCACCCTTCATAAGGGTGAATTTTATGCTATGTAGGTGATATCGTAACAGTCTATGAAAAGGTCTTTATTTAAATGGGGGAGGGGAGCATAGGGCCTGAATTCTTGGAAGGAGGACTCTAAGAGAACCTCCAGAGGCAGAGAACATTTTTTTTTTTT